TATATATATATATATATTTAGTTATTTTTAATTTGACATATTGAAATAACACATGAATTGATTTATTTTTGCTCTCAGTCTTGGTGAGGAGTTTTACAAGGAGGCCATTGAACACTGTCGCAGCTACAACGCCCGTCTGTGTGCAGAGCGCTCCATGAGACTCCCCTTCCTGGACTCCCAGACCGGTGTGGCCCAGAGCAACTGCTACATCTGGATGGAGAAGAACCACCGTGGACCAGGTGTGTGTATGTGTGTGTGTGTGTGTGTGTGTGTGTGGGTGTGTGTGTGTGTGTGCTGTGCTACAAAACCTCCTCTCTCCACTCATTTGTCTCCCAGCTTCCCTCTGTCTGCCCCCCATCCTTCCTCTCTGGCATCCCTTCTCCCAGCCTTCCTATCCTTCACACCCTCACATATATTTTTTAACTTTCCCCAAAGGGTATTTCCTCTTTACTTTTTCGTTTTCTGTAACATCAGTGTGTTTTGGCAGGGATTCAGACACCCCTGTAGGCAACAATACGCCGTTGGCTCTAGCTCCTCCAAAGAGAGTTCACCCTGTGTGCTTGTGTTTGTATTCTAGCTGCTATCTGCCACTAGAAACTTCTGCTTCACAGTTCATTACTTTTAGTTCACATCATTAAAACTATGTTTCAGTCTAAAAGTTTACCTTACTCTGTTTTCACTTATAATGACCAGTTTTCACAGGCTTATTCATAATTTCATAAAACTACTAGGAAATGAGCCTCTGGCTGATTGACGCAGACTGAAAAAGCCACGCTTTGTGTTTCAGGTCACGCTCCGGGTCAGTTGTACACATATCCCGCTCGCTGCTGGCGCAAGAAGAGACGGCTAAACATCTTGGAAGACCCGCGGCTTCTACCGATTGAGTTCAAAATTGGTGAGCATAAGTTAGGAAGGAGCAGTTATGTAAAAAACATTTGTTCTTTGTTTTTTCTGTTTCAAAATAAAACAAGAAAAAATGAATAATCGGGTGAGTTTTTTGTAGTTTTTTTTGTTTTACAGCTAAATAGAAAAACAGCAATTACAAAAATAAATGCCACATTTTTTAAAGGGATCCCCGATTAGTTGTAACATTAGACTTTATATGATAAACATATACTTTAACTGTAAAATAAAGGCTGTAAAAGTACTGTAGGATGTTCAGTTTTATTATTTTTAAACTAAAAGTTTAAAAATATATTACACGGACGGGGCCATTTTATTTACACGCAAAGCATTCTGGGTAAATGATGACATTAACTAGGTCACCGGCACGAGGCTGCTAGCGAGCTATATCCACCCTGAAGGTTAATCTTGGACAATATCTGACGACTGGCTCTTTTAAATGAAACCAGAGAGCGTTGACAGAGAGGAGAAGGTAGAAATGACTCAACCTGTAACTGAAAATATAGATGGAGGACAACAGAGCTGCTTCATGGAAGAAGAACCTCAGCCTGGTAGCTTTAGCTTTAGCCCAGACACTATCACCATATTTATGTATTAGCTCAGCTTCTAGTTGTGGCCTGATGGTCATCTGTGTCTGTCGTGGCAGCTACTATCTTTTGATTTTAAACTCAAATGTCTTCAGTGTACTTGCTGTTCCAATACTTTTGGAGGGGACTGTAAGTACTGTAAATATTGAGTCTGGTAGTAATTGTGAGTCATCTTCAACACATTCTCCGCTCGTCACTGAGGTCCTCCATCCACATGACAGAGAGGGGAACGCAAAAATGACTCAGTCTGCAACTGAAAATATGGATGGAGGACCTCAGTTTAGCTTGTTTGTAGCGCTGCCGCCAAGCTAATACATATAAGACAATATAGCGTGAAGGCTAACAGGCTAAGCTGAGGTTCTTCTTCCATGAAGCAGCTCTGTTGTCCTCCATCCATATTTTCAGTTCCAGGCTGAGTCATTTCTACTTTCTCCTCTCTGTCAACGCTCTCTGGTTTCATTTAAAAGAGCCGATCATCAGATATTGTCCAAGATTAACCTTCAGGGTGGATATAGCTCGATCGCAGAGGACCTATCCATGTCATCACTTACCCAGAATGCTTTGCGTGTAAATAAAATGGCTCTGTTTGTGTTAAAATATATTTAAAAAAAATTACAAAACTAAACAGCCTACAGTATTTTTACAGTCTTTATTTACAGTTAAAATAAATGTTTATCAAATAAAGTTTAATGTTACAACTAATCCTGGATCCATTTAAAGCAAAGACAAGCTTTATATTTTGTTTGTGCACAATTTGAGACTTTCCGGCTGAACCGTAAATCACACCTGTAAGTCCTGGACCATTACGTTTTCACATCTCACTGAGAACTAATGATCAGAATTACTTTAATATTCCAAGCTTTGAGGGCAGCCAATGGTTTCTAATCAGTCTTGCAGACACTACAAACTCTTCTTCTTTGGTAACTACCATCATTTCCAGTACAGTCAAATATTAAAACCACAACCGTGTAATTTCAAACTGCAAATTTTTAATTAGTTCAATTTGAAATATTTACATTACAACACTATATAAATGGAAAAATAACAACAACACAGTTTTTCTTTTTAAGGTTTTATTTTAAAACAGAAAACCAAAGAACGAACCGTAACACATACTGTATGTATGCAAACACAAACCTCTCTGCAGGGTTTCCTGCTGTATTGATTTGTGGTCTCTGTGGTCAGTTTCCACACATTATTGACCCGGATCACTTCTGAAGACGACCAGGGTTGGGTTTCACACGTTACAAGTTCTATGATAAGAAATGTGTTTAAAAAGTCAGTTCAAAGATGCACGTTGGACTTCGTGTATTATTTATGAACGTTAGCATTAAAATATTTTCATTTCTCCTTTCTGTAAAAACAGATGTAGGCAGAGGAACTTGCTGTGATCTGATTGTTCTGTAGATTTTTGCAGGCAGTCAATCCCAAACACATACTCTGAGCGCTAACTTCACTGTTACATATTGAAATCAACTCTGTTAGCAAAATAACTCATGAATCTTAATTTTAATGAAACTTCAGAAAATAGCTGTTGGATATGCGTTCTTACTTTTTGGAGTTAATTCAATTTAAGGTAGCTATTGATTTTAGCTTATACAAAAATGGCTACTCAGTCAGTTTTACAGCCTAAAAGCTAAAATCTGCTGTAAATTATAACTCAGAATCATTCCCAACACATATTCTGACAGCTGACAGACACAAGGTCTTTATTTCAAACCTTGACATGCAACTTATTACAACTTATGGTGTCTATAATTGTACTGATCTACCAACAATTAACTGCATGTGATTCACTTTTAATGAAAACATCTACAAAATAATCAGATTTTCTCCCAATCTTTGCAGAATTATCTGACATCATCAGACAGATGCTATTTTCCTTTCAATAAGCTGAAGTCTTTGTTGTTCTGTGGAGCAGAATCAGTTTTTGTTTTGTTTGGTCATCATCAGCTGGAGTTGCTCTTTCTCCTCAGACTACGAGGCTTCTCTAAAGAAAGAGGGGGGGATCCCAGACGGTCCTGTGCTGGAGTCGCTGCTTGCTGGTGAAACTCTGGACAAGAAGGTGGAAACCAAGGAAGAGGAGCCGATGAGTGAATGTCAGGTGAGGCGCTGTCTTCTTTCTTAATCTCATTACCACGACTGAAAGGTGAAGGCGAGCACCAGCGTTTTTGCTGGTGTGTGTGTATGTTGAAATGAAACTGAAAATAATCTCTGGCCTCTCACGGGTGAGACGCATTCCTTCAAGGAATGCTATGCCTTTACTTCTAATTAGTTTTGTAATTTCTGTTCAGCTCTTGTTTTTCTCCATGTTCTTTTGTTTTACTCTAATTTCAGGCCATCTATCTCCTGTGTGTTTGTGTCTGTGTGATTTTCTCTCTCTCCATTGTCTCTCAGAGTGTGTGTTTTGGCGGTAACTCAGTCTCCTGTGGCTCTGAAAACTCCCTCTTGGCACGAAATGTGTGTAGGCACGTGTTTTTAGATTGTGTTTGTGTGTTTTTACAGGGAAATCCTCTCGTGCTTCAAGAATAAACCGTATCATAAACCTCTGTTGTTATCACGCTCTGATTAAAGAGTCCCAGAGGAGGTCAGAGACAGGGAATCTGAATAGGCCATGTGCAGCTTCTAGTTGTGGCCTGATGGTCATCTGTGTCTGTCGTGGCAGCTACTATCTTTTGAGTTTGAACTCAAATGTCTTCAGTGTACTTGCTGTTCCAATACTTCTAGAGGGGACTGTAAGTACTGTGTATATTGAGTCTGGTATTACTTGTGAGTCATCTTCAACACATTCTCCAGTGCTTACAAGGTTTAATCAAAACTGCCTCAATAAGACAATGTAGTTTAAAAACTGTGGCACGAAAGGCAGGCAGGCCACTTTTATGCTTTAAAACAATGCCAAGC